TTATTGTGAAAGAGTGGTTCAGGGAGCATGAGACATCATTTTTACACATGGATTGTCTCCACAGAGTCCATTGAGAATATTTGAGATGTGCTGGAGAAGGTCAGACTCTACCATCATCAATGTAAGATCTTGATAAAAGAAATTATGCAACAGTGGATGGAGGTAAATGTTGTGACATTGCAGAAGCTTATCGCAACAATGCCACAGTGAGCGYATGTTGTAATCAAAGCGAAAGCAGGTCCAACGAAATATTAAGTGTATTGTCGCTTTTTTTGTGGGGGGGGTGCGACGATGACTTTTTTTTACTTTTTTTAGCCAGGCAGTGTATTTCAGTGGGGATACACACTGAGATCTGTGTTTTGATGTTCATATCCCCATCAGGGAAGTGCGGGAGTTCACCAATGGATCTGTGTGCTTGGAGTGCGACAGCCAGTGTGAGAGGATGGATGGAAACAGCATGACGTGCCTCGGCCCGGTAAGACTCTACTGATTCTGCCTTGGGCAAACTCATCCACTGGTACATATCTGTAATACAGCTGGGTACATACAAGTTACTTAAGTACCTGGTTGGAAAATGAATGTACCTGTTTAGTGTGTGTGACTTACATGATAAGTATATGGTACCTACCTGCTAAGTATCAGGYATGCACCTGCTAAGTAAGTGGTGCATACCTGCTGAGTAAGTAGTATGTACCTGGCACATACGTACACAACTCATACAAACTCAATAAGTATGTACTAAACCATTTTATGTATTACTACTACCCCACCTCTTTTAAAACTTGTATGGCTCTGCCATGAGGAAGTTCGGCCTAAAGACACAGCCCAGAGGTGTTTCTGGTCCCCACCTGTCRTTTTGCTCCTCAGCATGRCTTCCTAAAAACGCTGCAGGATTTCTCAAACATGCATGAATGAGTCAGAKCAAGGCTTTGGGCATGTTTTTATGAGAGTATAACATTATAACATGATATAAAACTCAAAAAAGTTTAATGTACATGATATTGCCCCTTTAAATTAGTTTGCCAACCACCAATACAACTAAAGAAGAACTTATAGAAGAAGAATGCGGACTATACTGTACAAGCCTCCTTCTTTTAGCAGTACAAATGCCAAAACAGTGACCAGTCCCACCATTTTGGAGCTGCAGTTATGAAGCAGAATGAGTCAATGACCTAACCCTCACTGTCCCAGTTCTCCAAACTTTGCACGCTTGTAACATGCATACTCAGATCAACACCTGCATACCTTGATGTAMTTCACTCTGCGGAGGTCTGTGTGGACTCGAGGCTGACTCAATACAGATTGGAGGTGGACGTCCACCGAACAGTTCCCCTTAAAAAGATCAGTTTTTTTACGTCTGCATCCTCGGTGTCRCACAATAAAATGCCCGGCAAGTTCATTTCACATTGAACTGTTTTGTATGCAACACCAAGCAGATATAGTTGAGAATCAGCCTCAGCTTGTGGACGAAATGAAGTCAAATTTTGGAGAGTGTCTCACGAAGGAGATTAGAAAATATAGAAATTAAATGATGCATAAATGAGGGAATATAAGGACTTTCAAAGAACAAATAATTCATGGGAGGAAATAGCTCAGACCCTGGCTAAGCTAAGTTCTTTTCTTTTGTGTTGTTTTCTTAAAGCTAAAAGGCAAGCTATCTTTTCCCCCTCGCCTGATGACATCATGACTGAAATTGTGAGAAATTAAAGAATTTGTCAGGCAATCAGTAAGCTCGAGTGTGAAGTCTCAGTACAGTATTGTGCTTAATCCATGAGCCGCGTGGACTCAAAGAGTAAGCACAGTACGTCCGAGTATGTGGGAACATTTATGTGCACTTCGACTGACTACACACTTCATTTGGTGTAGTGCATGCATTGGGACTGGGCCCAAACTAGACCAATTTTTTTGATCAAAGTATTTTTTTATTGTTTTTAACAAAAACACAAACAAAAAACAAACTAATAAAAAACACACCCCTAAAAACCCTTCCATCCCTCCCCACCTATACCAGATCTGCTAACAAAACATAAACATAAATACATCTTGTATTCATGTATCTGTAAATACAAAACACAGGTTTGTGTACAAATAACCATTATTTGACCATTAGACAAAGTTATCTACTGAAGTTTTTTCTACGTAAGATAAAAATGGCTGCCAGATTTCAAAGAATTTGTTTACAGATCCCCTAACAGTATATCTAAWCTTCTCTAAATGAATGTAAGACATAACTTCTCTTAACCAAGGACCATATACTGGAGGATGTGGATCCTTCCATCGAAGAAGAAGAAGTCTTCTAGCCAGTAGAGAGCAGAAAGCTAACACCGTCCTCTGATGTTCACTGAGGGAAGCTTCTGCTGGAGCCACCCCAAAGAGAGAGAGATGAATGGTGATGGATGATAAACTAAACCAATGGATCATAGATGCATATACATTTTGTAGTTCCGAAAGCTTAGGTAAAATCCACCCAGTGATTCATGAGATATTTTGCTGACAGAAAATTAAAGTTGCACAGACAAGCAATTGCAGTTTTACCTGCTTTTTATGGTGACAAGAGATAAGGAGATACTGTTTCTTGGAYGGGTTGTTCAGAGCTGTAATTTCGTTGTGCTCTGTACAATGACAATAAAGGCAATTCTAAACCTGACTAGGTGTTTTGTTTTCAAACAGCTGCTTCAAATATAAATCTGCAAAACAAAAAGAAGTATTTGAAGCATTTTTCTTCCTTCCTAGTGTCTAAATATTTACAGAGTTGCTGAGGGGGAAAAGAAAGAAAAGATTCAACGTGTAGCTGCTGCATCAAACGCGGACATGATCTGAACACAGAATCCAATTCTACATTTGCAAAAGTTACATTACTGGAAGATGAATCTAATGTGCTGCATGGCTGATTTTTGGGTGAATCCCACAATTGTGCGACTAACCTTTGCTGACAGTCCCCCTCTGAGAACGACAAAAGGAGCTGAAGAGAGAGCAACTCGTGAATGCTGGTCACAGCTGAGTTGTAAATAACACCAGAGTCAATCATCCAGAGGGCCCCCACCCCACCCCTCCACTCGCAACCAAACACACAAGCATGAGGCGTACAGATGGACTTTAAGACATCTGTATGCATCTGCACACACACACACACACACACACACACACACACACACACACACACACACACACATGCAAAGTGAGAATGATGTTTATTGATGGCGCGTGGCTGCATGTGTCAAACTTGCAAGCGGCTGTCCGTCAGGTCGCCTTGGTCGTCATTACCAACGGAGCGTGATGCCAAAACTTCCAAAGCTTCTTCAAAAAGGCAAAGCTGCTCTGGCATTCACAAAAACTCCTTGTTTTTGCACAAAATCTGTCATGATTTTCAACTTTTATCAGCTCCGGCCACAAAAAGTACAGTAAGTTTTTTTCTTTTTGTTTTTCTTTCGCCCTTTACTTTCATGCCCTGCTCACGCTCCGCTTCCCGCCTTACTTATTCATGATGCAGCTGAGCTCGGCTCCCGTTTGCCCATATCCTTCCTTTACTTTTGACATGAGCTGATTTTTCTCATGCATTTTGACWATTTCGACGGGGAGTTGCAGCGGAATACACTCTCGGCAATTGCGCTTAACAAATCTCCGAATGAAATTCATGTGCCGGCTAAATTAGCCGCGATAGCGAAGGGAGCAAATTGACCCGATTTGGCAGGTTTGTATTTGATTTGGTTCAATTCTGCTCTCTCTGCTCATACATTTCCCATTCTGTTTTCTGTGACTTCATTTTTTTCCCCTTTCCTCCACTACAGTCACTTTTTTTCCCAATTCTTTAGTTTTTTTTTGGATCAGGATCTGTTCTTTACCAGGTTCTAAAATGGATTAAATCCAACYTGTACAAATTGTACAAAAATATATAACAGACTCAACAAATTAGGAAACATGAGTATAAACTTATATAATCTAATAATATTAGTATAATCTTACTACTTTCATATGAATTAGGAGGGAAAGTAGCAGACGTGCGGCTAATCAAATGTAGTGCTTAATTAATCACCATCAGTTGGACAATCTCTTTAAAGTGGACATGTGCAAAATCCCCCATTTTTTAGCCCTTAAATACATTTTGCTGTGCACTTGGAGTCTCTACGAGAGCAGAAAGGTTTAACTTAATTTCTCCAAATGCTGCATTAATATCTTTATACTCTGTTTGGGTCATATTTTTTATGTTTCTCTATTCCCTATTAAGTTTTTATTTTTTTTAATAATAACCCATGAATTGAGACGCAGCCTCTGAGTTAGCAAAGCTAACTTTTTGGTTAGCTGTGCCCACCACTGCACAGCAGCCAATCTGCAATAGAATATTGGAAATAGAAAAGTATCAAGGTGCTGCAACGTTCCAATCAAAATACAGATCTCAACCTAATTATAATGCTGTAACGAGAGCTGTCTGCAAACGAAGAAGAGTGGACCAAAATTCCTCCACAATCATGTAGGACTGGCAAAGAAAACCACGACTGAGAGTTATTACTGCATGCTTTTGACTTAGTTTGATTAAATTATGATATGATGGAATTTGTT